ATAATCATATTACAAGTCCTGCAGTTTGTTCGATCTTTTTTGAAAATTCTCATTATATCCTTTCGCTTGATTTCAAAACGTGTATTGAGAAGTATGGCTGACTGCACCAGGGAACATGATTTCTCTAGCCAGTGTTTCCATATTATTTCCAACTGATTGTCATCAACTGTGTTTCTGTTTCTTGCCAATACAAATCACAAACTGATGTAGCCTGAGTTCCATATCACTTTTCATCAGTTAAATGTTACCAATATACTTTACATTTTGTTGTCCAGAAAGGTGAAAACTGACACAAGATGTAGGACATTACATAAGAACCAAGACACATCCATTCAATCCAAGTTATTTATTCAAACAGGACTTCATCGTGTAAATGCATACCCCGGGGTCAAATGCGGACCAGCAGCAGGCAGGATACGGGTGTGCTTTTGTTATTTCGCACAAATGCTCACATAGGTATCCATTTGCATCTTCTATAGAAAATATATAATTTGAATCAATTGAGAGTGGGCTATATACCAAACAGACAGTATTCAGAAGGATTATAAAGAAGAGAATATATGGATGTCAACTTCTTTATTATGAGGAACACAACGTTTCGGAGTATATTCTTACTCCTTCATCAGGTGAATGAAATCCTCTCACTCACACGAAGAAGGAGTAAGGATATACTCCGAAAGGTTGTGTTCCTCATAATAAAGAAGATGACATCAATATATTCTCTTCCTTATGTGAATCTCTTCTAAATGCCTTTCAAAGACCAGAAGGAGTATGTCATATATTATCCCAGCTATCGAGGACGAATATTACTTTTCACAATATGTCCGCCTGTATGTCCATTCTGCTTTACATTAAGGAGAAACTATATGCCTGTGTATCACATTAATCAGTCACATAAGATGAAATTCCAGTGTTTGTTAAAGCTGCGCTACTCGTTGTACAGAAACATATTTGTAAATATAAGATAGCTACGCGATAAATCGCAAAGAACAATGAAGAACGAAGCATGGTTCATTTCACGATAAAAAATTGTTCTATCATGACGTCATTTCTGGAGAATCGAAATGCGCTCGCAACTTGTTGACGTCGTAAATTGAACGACTTTAGTTTTAAGAGGGAAGTGTCGAGTGTGTTGTTCCCCATAGATGTAGCTCGGCAACGGAGATAAACGCAAAGGCCGAACGATCTCATTCAAACGTTGAAATGATATAATGACAATCACTGTTGGGAGAAAGGTACAGATAATTGACGGGAAAATTGTGAGAATATCCGGTAAATACCAGACTAACCTCCCTGTTCATAAAATGGACTTGATCGACATGGCCGATGTCGGATTGTATTCAGTGAGTTATCAATATCTAAATACCGGTAAAGCAGCCTCTCATGGTTTAGTCTCCCTGCAGTGTTGTATTGTACGATAAACAACACCCACTCGTAGTTGTAACACCTCTGATTAAATGTACTATGGGCATGGGGCATTAAATAAAGTGCAAATACAAATTGATTGATTGAAGCGCCCGCTAAAGCATGTAACGTAGGTGGTTGCGTGTCACGTTGTCCCTGTGGCATGTCGGTCGTTGATCATGTTGCAATGCATCAACCACTGTTGGCAAGCACCACGTTGAATCTATACCGTCGTAGGATAGTTGAAATATTTTTGACTGCAGCGTACAACGATATTAACACACTCTCATTACCAGGAAAGATTTGGGGTGAAAATGAGAACTTAAGAATGGAAAACACTCCTTTTCAGATAATTATAATGTATGCTGTTAAATTCATACTTAGCAATTTTCAGGTATATAAAAAAGCTCGTTCTTTCAGACGTGAAGTAATCCGCTCCCATGACGTTCACATCTAATCTGAACAAAAACAACTCATTACATTTTAGCTATCGTCATACACATATATTTCCGTGATATAACTGGAATACTGTTAAAAGCGGTGTTAAAACCAACTCACTCATTCATACACCTATATACAATGCTTATATATATAATTAATAGTATTCCATAGGGTACTGCTGAATTCAATACATTCCATTCAGAGAACTGATACCTCTGTTCATTTATGGGGTATATTGAACAAATGTCGGTGGGAAACGTCCAAGTTGAACACCCTCTCATTGATATGACTACAGTAAGTCCATACCTGCGAGGGAGAGGGTAAAGATCGCTTTGTGTGTGTGGTTCACGTTCTGCAAGCCTTCTCGACAACTGAGAGATAACTACAGTTTAGGTTAAAGTAGCTTTTCTCCCGCAGGCTACACATCCAGGGCAACAAACCCCTCTGATACAGCCACTCATTCTATTACCGTGCCAGGGGTTCATGGTGTGAGTACAGTCAGATGATTGGACTCAGTTTCATGGTCACACATAGAGAAAGAAACAATATTTGGCCACTCGATGTCCTGTACAGAAACAATTGATCTGCACAAGCACGCACACACGCACGCACGCGCGCTATTCTGTTGCAACTACATGATTGTTCTGGATTTTTTTTAATAATCTCACTTGACAATCCCGGCCTCGCTAATTGTCATACATATTCGTTATTCTCCAAGGGACGTTAGACATTCTGGCGTGATCGAAAAAGTGATCCCAGCTCTCAACAATTATACGTAAATGTCATGACACATCTCCCTCGGTTCAAGTAATTTCCAACATGTCGCCATCCATATTACCACATGTGCAGATAAATAGATATAAAAAAACTTTTTTTTACCAAATGAAGGGATTAATGTAACATCCAAGCACAGCCGCAGCGGTACTTGGTATGCTCTGATAAGCACTTTTGTTTGGTTGCAGAGCTAGCTTCATAACTATTTATGTAAATTTTATACCATAACTACTACAATTGGATCTATTATTCATTAACTGTGCATGTAACGACAGAGAAGAATTTGCATGCCAAATATGATCCACAACATACATTAGCGCTTAATAATACATTGCCACACAGCCGGGAAGGCTCGGAATGTCTATTAATGACACTCTGAGTGGTACTTTCTCCACTGCCGACAATGATTGTTGATTTTTCCTCTGCCGACACTTGAGAATTACTTTCTCTAATGCACACAGCGAGTGTTACTTTCCCTACTGCCGAAATCGAGTATTACATTCTACACTGTCCACAATGATTATCATTTTCTTCAATGCCGATAATGGGTTTTACTATCCTTGCTGTCAACACAACGTTATCCCTTCCCCACAGTTGAGAGTTACTCTTTCCCATGCTGACACTGAGTATTACCTTCTCAACTGCCGACACTAAGTATTTCTCTCCCATGCCGACACTAAGTATTACCTTTTCAACTGCCTACACTGAGTATTACTTTCTCAACTGCCGACACTAAGTACTAATTTCCCATGCCGACACTCAGTAATACTCTCTCAACTGCCGTCACTAAAGATTACTTTCCCATGCCGACACTAAGTATCACCTTTTCAACTGCCTACACTGAGTTTTACCTTCTCAACTGCCGACACTAAGTATTACTTTCCCACGCCGACACTGAGTTTTGCCTTCTCAACTGCCGACACTAAGTATTACTTTCCCACGCCAACACTGAGTTTTACCTTCTCAACTGCCGACACTTAGTATTACTTTCCCACGCCGACACTGAGTTTTACCTTCTCAACTGCCGACACTAAGTACTAATTTCCCATGCCTACACTGAGTTTTACCTTCTCAACTGCCGACACTAAGTATTACTTTCCCACGCCGACACTGAGTTTTGCCTTCTCAACTGCCGACACTAAGTATTACTTTCCCACGCCGACACTGAGTTTTACCTTCTCAACTGCCGACACTAAGTATTACTTTCACACGCCGACACTGAGTTTTACCTTCTCAACTGCCGACACTAAGTATTACTTTCCCACGCCGACACTGAGTTTTACCTTCTCAACTGCCGACACTAAGTACTTATTTCCCAAGCCCACACTGAGTTTTACCTTCTCAACTGCCGACACTAAGTACTAATTTCCAACGCCTACACGGAGTTTTACCTTCTCAACTGCCGATACTAAGTATTACTTTCCCATGCCGACACTGAGTTTTACCTTCTTAACTGCCGACACTAAGTACTAATTTCCCATGCCTACACGGAGTTTTACCTTCTCAACTGCCGACACTAAGTATTACTTTCCCATGCCGACACTGAGTTTTACCTTCTTAACTGCCGACACTAAGTACTAATTTCCCATGCCAACACTGAGTTTTACCTTCTCAAATGCCGACACTAAGTACTAATTGTCTTCGTATTGCAATTGCTAGGATTGATGCTCATGATATTGATCACTGGATTGTCTTGGCCAGACTCGATTATTTACAGATCGCCGTCATATAGTTGGGAGGTTGCTGAGTGCGACCTCAAACAACAATCAAACAAACACACAAACACTCTTTAAGCACACACAGATGTGATCCCTAAATGATGGACTAAGAATAATTATTTTGGTTTGAACAATAATTTTGAAATTATACTTGTTTGACTGTATACTTCATAGCGTCGCACAACATATGAATATCTTACTTTTATCTTTCACAGTTCCCACCACGTCCTTTTAGTTGCGCATTTATCACTCCACATCAGTAAATAAATGCAACAAGGCCCATTCCATGGCCACAAAAAATCTTTGCTGAAGCTGAGTCGATTGTACGTTTCCGACTATGTTTATGAATCACTATCAAATAGTGATGAAAACAGCTGATTTCGAAAAGGTGGGCGTATCCTGCCCAACTAATGTTCAAAGTTCAAATGTGGTTATCCAAATGGTTGAAACGCAACGTACATATCTATTCTCTCTCACCGCTCTATGTGGAAAAGCATTGCTAAGTATGTATGCCATAAACTATATTATCCCACACAGAGTTAGATATGTCTGATCTGGACGCCGCTGTACATGTTCATTTTCCTGTTATAGATTATCAGCTTTAATCCCTCTTACCCCATGCTGAGAATGGACCCTTCCTCCTATTCACTGACAGCAATATTTACAGAGGTCTGTCCGAAATGTAGCAGCGGCCGACGCTATCGTGCGACAGTCTCAGTCCCCTAACACTGACACGTGGGTTTGGCCGAGGCTTCTATCAAGCCTCCACGGATTGATTCCCTGGAACGATCGTTGTTACAGATAGCTACGGGAGCGATAGTAAGCGGTGACAGCACTCTGTGACACTGTAAAAGAAAGTAAGAAAGTGTGTTTTCAAATCATTACTGACAACATAAATCACACTTTTATTGGTATAAAAAACGTTCACATTTAAAAAGGCAACATCATTGCTTCAGGACGCGTGCAAGTATATTAATTCACAGGACACAGGACTATATCTTATTACATTTTTCTGGTTCATATGCGAGCCTCTGAGGAAGTAAAGGATTCGCTATCACGGAGCTGAAGATCAGGACTTCTCTTCTGAAACTTGTGATGATAATCCAGCATCATGCGTGACTGGTGCCTGATATGGTTTATTTGCCTTGCACTGATTTCCCTAGGTAAGTGACGGTTTTGTTTTTTTCTGAGATGTGAAATAACCTCGGACCTCGGTGTTGTACCCATGTATACAGCGAACCCGGGTCATCGGTTGACTAACATAACCAACCTCCCTTTTCAGTAATGTGTGCAATGTTTCATGAACTTGATGTGCATATGCGCACTGTTTAAGTGTTTGATATACCAATACTGGGTAATGGGTCTTTGAGGTCATAGTTAATCATTATTTATTCTCTACGTTGCTTACTAGTGTCAGTGTTAATGTATCATGTGAAACGGGGCTTAACGTTGCGTTTGAGATTATTTCACTTATATAGCGACTTGTATACACGTGTGGCTGTAGCTTTTTTCAAACGATGTGAGGTCTTGGCTACCCCAAACATACTTAAAAATTATAGATAGTTTGCCCACAGCCCTCAAATATGTAATTTTTTACTATTTATATATGGTTTTTTGATCTTATGTTTCTTTACACGAAAAATATTAAGCTTGGTAATTTACAACACGACACGTGTCCGGACTTTTAAATATATTTCCAAGATAAGTCAAAGCTACATCTACTAATGTACTGTGTGATCTCTGGAATTTGCTTTAGTAAGTATCCAACTAATATATTATTGTACAAAAATGCTGTCTGCTCCTCGAAAGGATTTCAATCACTAAATATAGGCACATACGACGATCGCAGACAGAACCATTTTAGTTAAAATAAGTATGTGGTACCGTGAGTGAAAGTAACGTCTATCCGAGGCCACTGCTATAGACATCAATCATTCCTCGCGGTCGGCAGTGGCCCAGATAACGGCTATTACAGTGTAATATTCACAGTCCAGTTCCGCCTAATTACTACTGTGACAAACATGATTCTTCTGTTGTGCGTCACATGCATGGACAACATGTGGAGGGTTATACTGAATTCTTGAATTCTATTTGAACCATTTTAGCTGCTTCAACATGGGATGCCCTATGTTCATTCGTGGTGCAGAGTCGATCCTTAATTGTGTCAGAATACACTGACGTCAGTTCGAATCCCAGACTTGCGCCGATTACGACCTTGCTCATGGGCTTTAACCAACATGTTAAACGTATGGGATTTTATCGAAAAATACACATTGCTTGAAAACATTTATCTACTTCCGACTGTTTAAAACAAATTATCTGCCACCAAAAATACATTTTGGCAAGGTGCAAGGTGTTATTCTAAAAAGCTATTTAGGCTTTTAATTTTAAATTTAACAATATCTAGTTTTGCATGGTAGCTGAAAATGTATCTAGTCACGATACAAAACCCCATTGAACAATAACCCTTTTTGCTATTATATATGGTATAAACTTTTATGTCATGCTGCTTATTCGGTTTATTTTCATACAAGGTAATGACATACATGGACCCGTGAAGATGCCGGGATAGAATAAGTCTTCAGCAACCCATGCTTGCCGTAAAAGGTGACTATGCTTGTCGTGAAAGGCGACTAACGGGATCGGGTGGTCGGGATCGGGTGGTCAGGCTCGCCGACTTGGTTGATGCGTGTCATCAATCCCAATTGCGTGGATTGATGCTCATGATATTAATCACTAGATTGTCTGGTTCAGACTCGATCATTAACAGACCGCCGTCCGTTACCTGGAATATTGCTGAATGCGGCGTTAAACAACAAGCCAACCAACCAACCAACATGGCTCCATGTTTACATTACATTACATTTACATATGTTTTACATTACCGAAATCAAATGTTCATTTTTACTATGCGGCTGAAAACTACATCTTAACACAATACCAGGAAGATCATACTTAGCTATACAGACTAGCGTGGACATTTGTGAAACTTTTTCATCCAGGAATGCAAACTAATTCCCATTCCGACATTGTTACTAATATTATATAATGCGTTACAGTTTTAGTTTTACTGATTGATCAGTCTTCTGTGTAGACAAGGAAACACGTGCCAAGACTGATCAAGGTAGCTTGATGCGTATTTCTTCATATATAACGTAACGAACATTTGAATATGAAAGTTTGAAGAAAATAAATAATAGTAATTCTACGATACTGAAACCTTTAGAAAGCCTATAAGTCACATTTCCGACCCAAGTAAACGACGAGTAAATGTTAAGGCTGCGAAAAAAGGAAAACAGTCTCCGTTGGGATGGAACAGGTCCCCTGCAACTATGCATGTCACATAAAGTGACAAAATCGACTTGGTATCCCAACGGCGCGGGGCAATGCTCATAATGTCAGTCACAGGTTCGTCTGGTCCAGACTCGATTATTTACAGGTCGGCGTCATAGCGCTTGAATACTGTTCAGTGCAGCGTTCAACGACAGACAAATAAACGCAGTGACACCTCATAGAGCCTCTGATTTGTTTGTTTGTTCTTTGTTGTTTAACGGCGCACTCAGAAATATTCCAGCTAAATGACGGCGGTCTGTAAATAATCGAGTCTGGACCAGACAATCCAGTGATTAATGTCATGAGCATCGATCCACGCAATTGGGATCGATGACATGCATCAACCTAGTCAGCGAGCCTGACCACCCGATCCCGTTAGTCGCCTTTTACGACAAGCATAGTCGCCTTTTACGGCAAGCATGAGAGACTCTGCATTGACCTTGACATTAACATTAAATAATGATCATCTATATGACGAATTGAACTCTCTAGTTGCAAGGCAAGCAATGTTATTAATTGAAAGCAACCAAATCCATACATTAATCCACTTGCGCAACATTGGTATAACGCTCTCACACTCTCCAGCGTTCCTGTAATAAGATCACATTGTTGGACGCAATGTCCGTTTAATGAACGTCATTTAAGAAGCATTATCCGTCTATACATGTATACCACTACGACAAGGTGTAACACAGCACTGCCCGTCTACCCTGTAGGGATTGAATAGAAACTAATGAGTATCAAAATAGCACCATCTTGACAGAAATGTGCATTGGGACTATCGACTTGTTCTTGTGAACTCATTGTTTTGTCATGATGCAACAGCTTCTGGACCACAAATAAGACAATCTGTTAGACAAGAGAGAACTGATATGAAGTTTGTATCAACGTATATTACAATGATGAAGCATGGGGGTGGTGAAATAGGGTTTAACGTCGCGTTCCATATTTTTGCACTCATATAGCATACATACAGAGACAGGAATGACAGCAACATGTGCCATTTTTAAGTCTTCTGTTATAACGCGGCATGCCGCGATCAAACCACCGACCTTCCGCTCTCCAGGCAGACGCTCTATCCACTAGACGCCGGAGGCTATCTCTGAGTCAGGCGCATGACCGGACGTATGCGACCAAGATATATGTATCACTCATACCTGAGTTAGTGTACTTGGTTTAACGCCAGTTTGAATAGTATTCTTTTAGTCATGTCATAATGTTTAACGCCGCAAATGCCCATCTGTACCTATAACATCTGCAAATAATCAAGTCCAGGCAAACGAGTGGTTGATGAGCATGAAGAACACTGTTGTCGTACAACATAACACCATATGCCACAGAGCCTGACCACCGAACCCTATTTTAGTGAGGTGAGGTGGAATGGGGTTTAAAATCGCGTCAAAGATTATTGCACTTATATAGCGACGTGCATGCACGTGTGTGTGTGTGGCTGCTTGTACAAGTCCGGACTGATGACGATTTATAGTGCTAGCCCACTGAGATACCATGCCGCAGTTTAACATGAATACCCCACTCAGACACAGTATACTGACTCCGAGCCGACCAGTCCTTGTTTTAACCCCTTAATGCCGAGTGTCAGACAGAGTAACAACAAGTACCACCTTTTAACGTCTTTTGGTGTGACGCGGCCGGTGATCGAATCCCGGACTTTCCGGTCTCCGGCGGACGTCCTACCACTAGATCACGGAGGCGGTCCATATTTCAGTACGTTTTTACGATAACCATGAGTTATCGGGGTCATACTTCGACTCGGAATCCCAACAAGGATTGTCATCTTAATGTGAGACGAAGCCCCAACTGTAGTTTGCAAACTCACAAGCAGTTGTAGCCCAGTCGTCTAATGTGCCATAATTCGCTGTCCAGATTTGAATCCCTAAATCTATGGTCTTGGGTACGAAGCCCCGTTTCTTGGTTTCTTAGCACAATGCCGATGGATTTCACCCAAATAGTAAAGGATTTAAGGATTTCGGGCTTTCCTCACACATCAATTGACACGCCAAGATATGAATAAAAGCGACAACACCCTTACTGATGCCTTGAATGTTGTTACCTTGACCAAACGACTTTTGAGCAAGAGTCGTATGGTGCCCTTGGTAGAAATCTTGGTAGAAAGCGCATGCTCGATTGTATCTCAGAAGTTGTAGAACGAAAACATCAAACTGAAATACTGTTCAAAGTGGATTTTAATCCAACTCACTCACTCACTCACTCAACTCACAGCGACACAACCCTTTCCATATTCATAAGAAATATCTGCCGAAAGCAGAATCGACTGTACGATTCCGACTGTATCATGAGCATATGTTTATTACTCACTATCAAAAAGTGATGATACCAGGTGTTCGCGAAAATGTGAACTTATCATCCCCCACCGGTGGCTCCCGTCACAAACACATGCAAAGGCAAGTCAATTGTTCACCTGGCAATAACACGGGAAAATATGGTCCAAATAAGTCCAAATAGGCAATTGCATCGGACACTATATTTGTCACCGATGCGTCAAATTTGGAAATGTCCTCCAAGAAAACCATAAAACTGTTTGAAATCTTTACTGGTGCCCTGAGTGTTGTAACCCTGATCAAACAACGTTTGAGCAATCTTGTTGAATGTGGGATCAAGGGCGGAGACTGCAGGAATATTGCTCGACACACACATATATACCATCTTTTCTTAAATTGCTGATCTGTTTCTTAACACAACTGAATCCTAATTTCTGCTTGGATTGGCAAACCTAAAACAGGGGAATCTGGCCAAGTGTAACTTCAGGTTTTCCACAGATTTACCCACCCGAAGCAGAACTAAAGGTGCC